TAATGATTTGTTTGTGTATCCTGAGAATACTTAGCCAGATGGTTAGAGTGTGTAGTTTACATCCCTTCTGGGTGACCAAGGAAGACTTGGCTCAGGAGAGGCAGAATCCATAGTTGTAGGTAACGTACAAAGTGGGCATTGCTCACAAGTGACCAGTGATTCACAAGTGATTGTAGCTTTTCATAATTATTCCCCTTTTACTCCATCCAAAAAACAAAAAAAGTGAAATCAGCTTACCGAAATAGAAAGAACTGTGGACTGGCTGTCTGAAGACATGGGTTCTAAATCAGATTCTACTATTTTCAAGTTATGGGACTTAGAGATGGCCGACAAACCATGCTGGGCCTGTGTTCCTTACCCATCAAATGGAGGAAGATTAGACTCTACATTCATTTATGGCCCTTCCAACTCTAATAGTCTATAACTCCTTGAGCCAAAAACCCATCTCAGCATCACAGTGATGGCTTCATTTACCAAAAATCGAAGACCAGAATATCTCCACCACAATGAATACTGACTTATAGGGGACTCAGTAGGCTTTCTCCTAAGAGCATTTTATCCAAGGCCTTTGTTTATGCTCTCTTTCTCTAAATCAATGGAAAACCAAAATTTCCCTGTTTTCTCAGGTATATATTTCCTTAAACAGTAAGGAAGAGATTTTCAAAAATTCCAACTAAGTCGTAGTATTCTTCTAATCAAAATTCCTTAAAAAGTTCTTACTACATTTCCCCAGCAAAGGTGAATATGAATCAGGAAAATAGAGAAATATGTCTTACAAGAGATAGAGGAAGATATAATGAGCATATGGAATAAAAGGCTGCCCATTTGATATGATTTCATAGGTTGTTGAATGTTCCCATTTCACAGAAATGATGTTTCCCCATGAGCCCAAGTCTCATCATTAGAAATTCATTCCCTTATGTATTATTCTAGGAAAATACAAAGTAAGCCTTAAATATAAGCTACTATAACACCTTAGGATAATAATAAGTTTATATAGGCCTTTGAAAGATGACGACTTTCACTCATATCACGGTAAAATTTCACAATTCCGTAAGAAAATTAGAAGATGCTTTATCCCAAATTTATAGATGAGAAAATCAAGACTCACAGAGATTAAATGGCTTATTCAGGGTCATCTAGGTAAGTAAGTGGTACCTACTACAGGGTCAGAACACAGTCTCCTGATGTAAGGCCAATCCTCTTTCTCCAACATTTCTCCATGGAAAGAGACTGCATGAGATGGAGGGTGCGAGTGTGGGGATGAGGCCTTGGGAGACAGACAAAACCCGAATTCAAACTTTGATTCTGCTATTTGCTTGCTGTCTGAGATGAGGCAATTACTTAAACTCTTTGAGCATTTTTGTTATCTATAAAAATCAAGGATAAGAATATAATATAAATAATATCAAAGGAGTAATACATATTAAAGCACTTAGTGTTAACAGTGCATGGTAGTGATCTTTTTGTTTCTACTACCATATATATTTTTAATTGTACAACTAGGTGGTATATGAGAGAAAGGATAGGAATGTAAAGATAATTTACAGGTAGGTATCATTTTCCTTTATGAGTCTTCTGTTTCAAACTGTAAGAGTTGTTTTTATTTTATTCTATTTCACGTCTTCCTTGACTACACATGTAATTTCCCCTACCATGAATGCCCTTCCTGATCTCTGGACTCTCTGACCAATGCCTACGTATTTTCTCAAGCTCAAACTCAAGAGTTATCTCCTCTTTAAAACTTTCTTCGATGTCATAGGCTTTTCCTGTAGCATTCACATAAAACAGAAATTCATTTATAAATATTTACTGAGTGCCTCCCGTGGTGCTAGGGAACTCTGCTAGGGTGACTTGAGAGCACTTCATAGAATTGATCTAATTTTGTTTGTTTCTGTTAGTAGCTCCCACACTTCGGGATTTTACAGATCTTTTACATTTAAAAAAGGAGAACTGAGATAAAGTTGCCAACTTTTCATTTTCTAATGAGAATACAGTAAAATAACTGCCATTTGCTACCACAAAAGAAATGACATTTTGATATCAAGATATACAATCTCAGGATTCAAAAAAATAATAAATTAGTCTTTATGGAAAACTTCACAGAGGGGATATGCATAATCAGGTAATAGGCACTGGGGGATTCACTGGTTTACCTATATTTTTGTCTGAATTTGATAGTTTTTACAGATGTCCTTTCTTATACAATTTTGCGTTCCTTGTGCAGTGCCCGCTGTCTAGTGGGATGTGCTCAATAAATATTTATAAATGAGGCAATGAATTTGCCTCTGAGAAAATTCCCGTGAGTCACAGTAACACCTACAGCACAGAGCACCTGTGAGAGGACACAGCCATAGTGAGAGAGGGGGAGGGGCGTGTGTGTGTGTGTGTGTGTCTAAACTGATATAATTTACTTCACAAGTTTGCCAGGTATCAGTCATTCAGAAGATTCTACACAAGAGTTATTAGTGAGATTGTCAAGGGCGGAGGTGAGACAAGAAGTTCAACAGTGAAACATAATGCTTCAGGAAGAAGTGGACTCTCTTCCAAGTACACCATCTGTAAAAACATTCCACGTGACATCTTAGGTGGATTAAGAATTATAATAAGTATAGCTACTGCAACTAGATAACACTCATTTAATATTCACTATGTGTCAGGCACTGCTAAAAGTTCTTTGCATGCATTATCTCATTTAATCATTACAACCACCTGTGGAGGTAGACGTGATGACTAGTCCCATTGTACAAATGAAGAAATTGAGGCTTGCAGGGGTTAAACGATTTGCCCAGGATCATACCGTTAGCCAGTGGTAGAAGTAGTTCTCAACTCTGATCTAGGTGTCTTTAGAGCTTACCAAAGCTATTGGGTCCCTTTCTAGCCACATGTTTCTACGATGAGCACAGTCTTACATGGCTTGTTTTTCATTTTAAAAATAAGGAGAAAATTAAAATGTTTCTTCCTAGCCAAGATTTTAAAGCTGGTAGAGCATCCAGTTTTTCTATTTAAAATCTGTGGCCATAAGCAAAATCCTTAACATCTCTGAACTTCACTACATCTATAAAATGGTAATAAAAGCCCTTCTTTCTGTGTTTTTGGAAGGGTTAAATGGATAGTGTACGTAAAACAGCTAGCAAAGGACTGGATTATGAAGGTGGTTTAATAAACTTTAATGCACTCTGGGGCCTAGTAAGATTAAGTGACATTTCCAAATTAAAATCATATCAAATATTAGCGATAGGATGAGAGCAAATAGATCATTGCTCTGGTGAATAAAGGTGCCAATTATTTGCACAATTCTTTAGAGAGCCACGAAGATTATCTTTGCTACAGCCCTCATTTTAATTACGAGCATAGAGATGAGACGTTTCAGCATAGGAAGAAGTTTATATTTGATTTACAGCACAGATGCACATTTGCAACATCTAAACATTTCATTCCTTGGCTAAAGATGTAACAAGCTACTTCAGCAAACCTGAAATTGTAAAATAAATGGAAAATGCTTAATCATTTAAAAAAGAAATAGCAAAGGAATGAAAAGACCAAAGTATGCATGGGTCCCAGAGAGGAGAGGAAAGCAGCAGGAAGTTGCTTCGACTTTTTAAAGGCTGACAAATGGCTTCATTAGACAGGCAGGATATGAAACCGAAAGGGTGCATCTCTATCATTTTTATATACAAACACTTTCAGAAAAAGCATACGTATCTATATGTAATCTAAAAGTACTTCTCATGGAGAAAAGCAAGTTTCAGAGCAATGTGTAAAATATGAACTTATGTTATAAAAACAAGGTCAAGGGGCCGGCCCAGTGGCGCAGCAGTTAAGTTTGCATGCTTCACTTTGGCAGCCTGGAGTTCGCAGGTTCAGATCCTGGTCAAGGACCTATGCACCACTTATCAAGCTGTGCTGCGGCAGGCATCCCACATATAAAATAAAGGAAGATGGGCAAGGATGTCAGCTCAGGGCCAATCTTCCTTGAAACAAAAAAAAGGTCACGCCCTTCCTATATCTGAGTATGCATTTGTACATGTTTGTATGAACGTGGAGAATATATGAAAGGTTCAAGCCAGGCTGTCACATTGTCAACCTCAAGACAGATTGCTCTGGAGGGAGTTTGGGGGAGATTTTTGTTTCTTGAACATCTTTGCATTACTACACCAAATGCAATGAGCATATATTACTTTGGAGCAAAAACAATTAAAGATAAAAAAGAAAAAAATGTACATTTCTTATTATTCATCTGCCCGTTCATTCACTAATTTATTCATCATCCAGTGTTTATTGAATCTTTACTGGTGACCCTTAAGTAAACTAAGTCGATTTCAAACTGTCAGATCCGACTTTTTCAGAGGCGTGCTGACTAAATTTGGTAATACTTTGTGGATTAGCAATGTGGTTCTGCGCCTGTCTTGTTTTCCTTTGGGATTAATGGAGTATATTAAATTCAAACCATTTTGGAGTTAATTTCACACCTTTCCTTTCCATTTCCACCTGCAGTTACTGCACCAGAGGGAGGGTTGATTGACTCCCCAGTTCTATTAAACTGTAGGTAGCAATTTGCGGCAAGAACATGAAGTTTAGAGTCAAAAGACATGAGGCTCAGCTATAACTCTTTCACTAATCAGATGTGTAATATTGGTATGCTACTGCCTTCTTTTTGAACTTCAGCACCATCTTCTCTCCTCCAGTAATAATGCCCATCTTACAGGATGGCTGTAAAGCTCAAATGGGATCAGATTTCAAAAGTTTTCATAAATTGTAAAGTGATAAGCATATGTTACTATTCCTCCACAAAGAATTTGTGGTTTTGCCTTCTAACACAGGAGAATGACACACATTTACAAATATTTGCAGGTTTCCAGTGGAGGCAAGACTATAATAAGTTTGAGTGGTACTCAGAAGCCTTAGCTAGCCCCCCAGACAAGGGCTGACATGTTAGGCAGATGCAATTTCTTCCAGGTAAGGATCACACACTCAGTTAACCAACAAGTATATCTGACCTGGTGTAATCGTCTTCAACAAGCATGTGCTTTGGAATTGGTGAGTACCTTCCCGGAGAGATGGGCGGCAGGGAGGTTTTATATTCTAAAGTGCCATTGTTGCCAGAGAGGAGATGGTTTTCCATCGGTGGAGAATAAGCTAAGGGGTGAAAAAAAGAAAAGCAAAGAAAACTGTTATGTGGGTGATTCAATATGTCATTCTATAGTTTTGTAAAAATAGAAAGGCTTTGCTACATGCCAACGATGTTCTTGTCCTCCCTGAGGGGGAAGTTGCTATTTGTTTGCACTTAGTATGTACAAGCACAGTGACCTTTAGGATTGGAAAGATGTAATAACAATTATATATATAAGTGCAGTTAGTATAATTAGGTGAAGAGAAGAATTGGAGGAGAGACCCAGCACACATTTTCAGAATGATGATTAATTTTCTATTGAAACAAAAATGTTAGCTTTCTAATTGCAGAGCTCACATTCTTTTCACACAATTAATATCCAATCATCAAAAACAGAAGGCTCCTAGGAGCAGGTTCTTGTATAAGACTTTATTCCCAAAATATGCTGTACTCTCATCCCAGAAAGGCCTTTCTTTCCTATTTCTCCACCTAATTCATCTCCTTTTTTGAGTGACTGAAAACCCCTTCTTTGTAGGGCTCCTGACCCCTCTTTTTCTCCTCAAATCCATTTCATACATCGAGAAATCCAACTCTGATCATGCTGTTCTCTTGCTTAAATGCGCTCCATTGCCACTATTGTATTGATTATAAACTCTCCCTTTCACCATTCTTACAAGATTGATCCATTCAACGTCCCCCTTACCCATATCTTTTGGTCCCCAAACAAAGTCTGTTCTTCCCAACATCTGTACCTTTGTTCCAGTGTTCCAACTACCTACAATTTCTGTCTCCTACCCCATCTCTGATAATGCAACCTCAACCATTCTTCAAGAGAAAATTCAAATGGCACCCTCCGCATAAAGATTTTTCTAACAGGTGATATTCTCTTCCTTTGAGTGCCCAAAGGACATTGATTTTTACCTCTTTCATGGCATACGCATATCTCTTATTTTGCCAAACACTGCTGCTATTCATATATCTGCATTAGCCTTCCTTCTTGTGAAGGTCATGACTGTATCTCCTTTGTATCCCACATATTACCTTGCAAGGTGTCTTGTAGATATCAAGGTTACTCAATACATATTTCTTGAATTGAACAGCAAGTTTTGTTTTCTCCTTTTTCTCTCTTTGACATTGACCTTATAGCCCTTCATGAAATGGCTCACAGTCTCAAGGCTGATTTTTCTAATTTTATCCAGTTTGAAAAACTTTAAAAGTTAAAAGTCTCTCATATCCTAACGTAAGGCTGATCTCAGCTTACTGCCTGCTTGATAAAACACATATTTTGGGGCAAGTCATTTTAGAGTCACCATTAAGAAAAGCAATAGTTAATGTAATAGGCAGGTAACAAAACTATTCAAGCTTTAAATTTCTCTCAAGAGAAACATCTACATCTAAGAGAGGTTAAATGACTTGCTTAAGACCATAGTACTAATTAATGGCAGGTCCTGAAGACATTCTGATTTCCCAGTCTTACAAGTGGTTTCTCAAAACTTCAGAATGAGCAAGCTTACTGATGTCAATAAAAATGTCCCTTAAACTCACATCAAAAAATGGATTGTTTCTAAATCTAGTCCCCAAAGACAGAAGCTTAGATGAGGTTCTTATTAACTTATTAAAAAGAGGAGAATACATGGGGCTTATATAGCAGTGGACTTTGTGAGGACCCAGCACAGCGTCTCATGGTGAATTGTTGCTCTGGAAGCCCCACCTCCAACGCACCTCTAGTGCCATAGTGACTGACAATTGTTGCTGGCTTCCCTACCAGTATAACAAAATCAGGAAATGGGAAAAGCAATGATGATGGTGATTAAGGAACATAATTTCACCATTCAAGTTCAAGATTCTCTCCCCCAGGAAGAACCATTCTGCTATATCTGGTCTATTTTGCCAGCGTCTCTTTTCCACTCTACTACCATATAGGTTTGAACTAGGAAGAGAGAATATCATAGCTTGAGAGCTATTATGCTTTAGGGGCTTGAGAAATAGCCTTCAAACATGTGTTGCTCCTATGTTGTTATAATCACACTGTCCACAACATCTATCACTAAGCCTTTCCAAAACAGTGGACTTGCCAAGTCATCAGGGTGTCCCACCTTCAAAACACTAGGTAAGGTTCTGTAAAGCAACCAGGGAGTGAAGTGCAAGATCCCGCTGTAGTATTTCCACAGGCTAAACAAGACTGAAGACGTGAACGGAGGACTTCGCCAAGTTTTGTAGAATTCCACTTTTGCAAGCCTGGCATCCTGTTCAAAGATGACACTGAATATGGTACTTACAATGAGTAATATCAGGAGGACCATAAGGGTCAGTCATATAAATGGTGGTGGGCTTGCCAACTTTTAGATAAACTACATCTGATGTGTTCTTCAATATTGCTACTGCCTCTTCATGTGTGACTTCTTCTAAACTGTAGTTGTTTACCTAGAAGGGGAAAAAAATTCAAAATTAGAGTCGAATCTATGCAGGTGAAGAGAAATATTGGCAAGAAGATATTTAGAAGCATGACCTTACTTAAAGATTAAACTACAATGATTACAGTCAAATATCTATATCATGCTTTGACAGAACAGATGGCATTAGCCAAAGGAGATAAGGTACAGTTGTTGATGTTAAAAAACAAATTGCTTCTGCCTTTTCCTATGAGGAAGCAATACATTATAATGGAAATCAGAATACCATTTGTGGAAAAAGTAAAAGAAGGGTCAAATATCTTTCTTATTTTGCTATAGTTTTTGTGATTACAAAAGCAATACATATTCATTGAAGAAAAGAACAAAAAAAACAACAGAAGATAAAAATCAGGCTTAATCTCCCTATTTGGATATATTTCTTTATACAATTGTGACTATACTATATACGTTATTGTGGAACCTGCTTTTTATCCATATCATGAAAGTACTCCAACAATATGACTTTTGATTTTTACAGAGCCCTGTGTTTCATGGCTATAATTTAATGATTTAACTAATCTCTTAATAAAGCATGTTTAGTTTGCTTGCAATGTTTTTCTACTACAAATAATGTTGCAATAAACCTTTTTCTATATTTGTACACAACTTTGATGATTTCTTCAGGATAAATCATACAAGTGGAATTGCTGAACCAAACTATATGAATATTATAAGGATTCTGACAATTATTCCCAAAGTGCCCTCTGGAAACACAGACCAGTCTATTCTTATCCCACAACTATATGAGATCCCCCATTTTCCTACAGCTTCACTCAACTTGGTTTTTCTCACTTTAGAAATCATTTCCTATCAAAATATCATTTAACATGAGTCTATTTTCTGAGGAAAGGGTAATGTTGGAACACAGGGCTTTGCAGGTGAGCAAGTTCAAGGGTACCCTATTGCCACCGGTTTTAACAACTCCTGTTTCCTTACTGGACAGCAAAACCTGTGACACAAGTGCATTTCTTATTCATGGCAATGGCATTACAGTGGATCTCTGCAGCACTTCTCTTAACTGGTTTTGAAAATATTCAGGTAGTATTTTACATACCTAGGTTATCCTTATTTGGCTACTAGTTTTTTATGAAGTGATTTTTCAGTTTTGGCAGAAACGATGTAGAATTAAAATAAGTGTGCCGAGGGCATTAGAGTGGATGCCCACATGTTCTCCACACTATCCAATTAGACTTAGTCATATAATACCTTGCAGCACTGCCTTTTCTTTTCCTTTGGCCTCATGTTGTTATATAAATTCCACATTCCAGTTAATCCTTGGTGGTGCAGCTCAAGTTAGGGACCCTGGAACTGGAGGGAATTGGACCTTTGAACCTGACTGACGTGTATGAATGCTGACCATGAGCTCCCCACTAAGCTGTGAGCCTCTCTACTGGTTCCTACCATTCTCTTCTACACGAGTGGCATTCTATTAAATCCTTTTGTATTTCTAGTGTCCAGCACTTGTTCATTCACTGATCAAATGTTTATTGCATACCTATTATGCGTCAGTCTGTTCTACATATTAGACATATAGTGATAATAAGAATGATAATCATAATCATGGCAGACACTTATAGAGCCTGTATTGCACATCAGGCACTATTTTAAATTATTTTACATATATTAACAGAATCAAACCTCACCACAGCCTATTAGGTAGCTATTATGATTACCTTTATTTTACAGATGAGAAAAGCATATCTTCAAGAGGTTAATAAACTGGCCCAAAGTCATTGGTCCAATGGTGGTAGAGGCAGAATTAAAAGCCAGGCAGTTTGGGTCCAGAGATCACGGTCTTAACCACTCATCTATATCGATTCTTCCAGATAAACATAGTCCTGGCTCCCTTGAAACTTACATTCTGACAGGACAGAGTTTTTTATGGAATAAATGGATAGAAGAATAGACCCATACAGAGAGTGAGAACGTAGAGGGCCTACAGGTATGGAAAACACAGTTGATGATGGCAGCCCTTAGTAACAGACACAGGAAAAACAAAAACAATAGCAATAACAAAAGAGCGAACACTTATTTAACACCTACATGTCGTATATTTTGGGAGTACTATGTATATATTTTGACATAAATCATATAACTGATCTTGGTTATAGCTTCATGAAGCAGACATTAACAATTAGGCCCATTTTACAGATGAGAAAAACTGACTTTAAAGAGGTTAACTTGCAACTAAGAGGTCACACAGCCTCCAAGTGGCAAAGCCATCAGTTGGATCACAGTCCTGAAAAGATGGAAATGAGACTACCCTTGAGTGTTGGTTCATTGAAACCTAGGGCTTACATCATCTATTCTTTCGCCCTTTAGAACAGTTTCCTTCCAAGTTTACATATGGAAGTAACATAAATTCCAAAGTGTTATAAAAACCTGAGTAATCATTATTCTTCTTTCTTAATCCAGTAGTGACAGTATTTTGCATCACCCAAATACATTGACAAGGTAAAAAAATAAATAAGTAAAATGGAAAGTAGCTTGATATATATGTCTCTTCAAAACTTTCTTATATATTTGACTGATCACTTATTTTAGGGCAGTACCATTTGTACCTAGATAATGAATACTTACAAATGATGCCCATATACAATGGTTTAAAATGGGTATGGAAGTGGATGTTTTCTCTCAAAAAACAATTGCTTAAGGTGGCTCTGAATATTGTGACCACGGCCCCCAGAAACACCTATATTGACAAAACAGAAGGGAAAAGGGATTTGTTGCCATAACACGGAGTGGATGACAAGCCAATAGATAAAGACCCTAAAGGATAGAAACCAACTAGATTAGATTACAAGTGGCACAAAAGCTCTGTTTCTGACAAGGGCTTGTTGTCTCTCTCCCCAGGGTACAGAAAGCACACAGCTCATTAGATTATCAGTGAAAAAGAGATGTGGCCAGTGCTTATTAAATTGCACTTTTGCCATTTTTAAGATGGGCAATGAAACAATCTAGAAAATGTTACCTTCAAGTGAATTTTCTAAGAATAACTTCGCTAACAGACTCTCAGACCAGCAGGAAAATCTTTAGACCAGAAAGCAGAAGTTGAGGAAAGGGTGGATGTGAGGAGTGGGAAAAGAGAGGATATTGGGGGAATAATGGTAGTTTAAAATAGTGGTAGTCCAGTTGGTTTTTATTTGGTGACTATGAAGTGTTGGAAAATTTACACAGATTTTAATTATGGAACAGGTGGTATCATATTGGAACAGAATGAAGTGACTAAAAGTACATCTTTTGAGTCATGCAGAGCAGGATCTGAGTCTTGGTCCTGGCACTTCCTAGCTGTGTGATCTTGGGAAACTTATTAACCTTCTTAGCCTCAGTTTTGACATCTGTAAAATAGGTATGATAATAATCATTGCCTCAAAGCGTTACTGATTTAAATGTAATGATCTATATAAAGTGACAGGCACATTAAAATACTTATTAATGTTAGCTCTGATTACTATTACTATTGTCATCATCCATCTCTCTTCCCAGGAAACAGGAATTGGTGAAAATTTTCGCTGAGCATTTTCCTGTAAACATCTGTGAACTGACGAGTTTAATTAGGGTACGGCTGATGAGGCTTCTGTGTGGTCTTTTAAAAATTCAGAATAGTACAGGATCTGGACCAAAAAGTCCTCTTTTGTGCTGAAGTCTTCGAAATGTTTTTCACGAAAGTAGGTTTATTTGGGTTAATTATGTGTGTGCATTATCCTATGAACTCTCAAGATAAAGGGCCTACAGCTGGAGCTGATTGTACACAGAGAGAAGGGACATTATACTGATTGGCTAGTTGCTCTTGTCATTGTGTTTCATTGTCTTTTTTCTTTTTTTCTTTTGCATCAAGTATCTGCCTATAACGGTGAACACTGAGCAACTGGCCTGGTTTCAGAAAAAAAATCATGTGCATTTGAATGAAGTGTTTCTGTGGGATGCACTATACAGAGGGGGACATATGTGCAGCCTGGCCGTATGTTTGCAATAGAACAGAGGACTGAGGCCAAGAAAATGAGGTTGGAGGTGAGATGACTCATTCTCTCAAATGGAAGAGGGAGTGATGAATTTGAGTATAATGCAGACAAAAGAGGGAAAGTCAGCTGAAGAAAGAGGCTTGAAAGAAGGGAACATGGCAAGTGTTGTGGGATTCAAATGAGTGTGCAAATATATATGTGATGGTACAAAGGTTGGAGGTGTAAGGGCACAAGAGGGCGGTAATAAGGAGGAATGGGCAATGTACAGATGGCGAGATACTGATTGTTCTATGTTCATTCAGGACTACCAACGTGGGGGGACAAACTGGGAGGTGATCAGGGACATAAAAGTTACCTAAGACATCATGCAAGGAAATGGGAGACTCTAGAAACAATGTAAAAAAAAAAAAAATCACAAACTCCAAAGTTAGATTTTTAAAAAGGTGACAAAGTCTTTGATCACTAGATTGTAAGATAAATTAAAAAGGGGACCAGTCTGATGCAATAATGTCACTGATATGAAAATCAAAATGCATAAACCAAACACTAAAATCTCTTCAGAACATTGAAATCACAATAAGATTTATTTTAAAAATAATAACTATGAATAAATAGGAAATGTTAATAATGGTTCTCTTTGGATAATAAATATTTTCTTATTTTTCACCTTTTCCGCAATAAGCATGCATTAGTTATGGTTAGAACCCAATTAACTCTATTTTTTAAATGAACAAGAACAAAAACGTTAAATAAGGAAGAACATGTGCTCACTCTGGCAGCACATAGACTAAAAGAAAGGAAGACCAAAACTGAGTGCAGTGGCTTCATTATGAGACACATATAGCAAGATCTCATGAGTGATGGAAAGTTGGAATGGGAAAGAAGGAAGCTGATTTCTCAAGCCCAGTGAATTGACTTAAATTTATTAGAAATTTATAGCTGTATGTTAAACCTAGGTGTTTCTAGAAATGAAGGGAATTTGGTACAATGAGAGTAATTTTGAAAGTAG